ATTCAATTCTTATGTGTATTGCGTAATATTTTTCTTGGATCAGATTGTTTCTGTTAATTCCCGCTAACTTAAAGTGCTTGGTTTTCTCCCTTGTGTATTAGCTCACTATCTATCTCAGCTAATTGTGAAGTACTTCCTAAGCTTTGAGGTAATAATTTCCAAGCTGGATGATACTTCTGCTCATACGTTTTTTCTATGATATATTCTCAATGTTTTCAGAAATGAGAGTCTAATTCAATGTTTTCAGAAATGAGAGACATTAGATAAGTAGAACATATTTTGAGGAAAAAAAAAAGATAATTAAACGAACATGTACGCCCTTTAGTTTACGCTGCTTCTCCCAGAAAAAATTGTGGTGTGATTGTTTTAGTCAATCTGGAACAGATGCAAATACACTTTTGCATTTTACTACTGAGATATGCATATCAGATGCATTCCAGACTCTTCCCTTCTTACTATTAATTGTAGTTGTATTTTTCTAATAGAGCTGTTGGTTTTTGAGGATATCTGATTCATCTCCTTTGTATTTTTTTTTCCTTTTGGTAAAAGTGTTACGTTTGTAATCAAGAAAAATAAACATATATATATATATATATATATTACATATTGACTAACATATCCTACATTTTTTTTCCCTATAGATCCATGGGATTTTGTAAATTGTGACATATTTATGAGTATATATTAAAAAAGTTGTGTTGAGTATTCTCTTCTGAGAAAAGTTCACTTGTGTAGAAAAACTAGTAAGAAGAAATTTCAGGTCGTTTCTGTCAATAAGCTATTCCATTTACAGTTGCAAATATTTGACATGTTGGTTGGTCACTATGAAATTCTAAAAAGATAGCTTAGTAACCTTGTTAAAAGAAAATACATCTTTTGAGATGAGATATTTGAAGATGGTAATATTTCTATTACGTTTTAAGGATAACATTACTTCACAAGGTGTTTCAGACTTGCATGGAACTTATTTTTTATTTATAACAATGAAACTTCACAAGCGGTGTTTTGCGTGCATTTTTTCCCCTATTAATAGTGTGCACAGTAAATCTGTTTTCTTTGTAAGGTTGTAAGTGTCCAAGTTTCTGTGAAATTTATTACAAGGACAGGTCACTTTGGTTCCAAAAAATTCCCTTGATGCTGTTCCGGTTTAGATTTTTTGTCAGAAGGCTGTATCAGATGAAAATAAAGAGAATGACAACCTTGAGAGGTTTTTAGATACTTATGAAGAAATGCTCAGAAAGTAACTGAATCCACAAAGAATGGTCGAACTAATTCGACAAAATATCAACAGGAGAATTTTTAATAAGTAACCTTAACCTCTTAATAGATGGCGAACAACAATTTTTAGGTATTAACTCAATTGTTTCCGTCAGAAGTATTTTGATTCTTTTGTTATATTGTTTCGAGTCTTCTGACAGCTTATGATTTTATTTCAATTCCTTGTTAGATGACAGTCAGAGTCTTTTTGTACGTCTTTATACACGAAAAGGTATTCCACTGTTGCACCTTTATCTTGTTGTCTTTCCCATTCTTTGATACTAATTTTTATGTTACTTTAATGCTGCATAGGGCCATGGTTTCTGATGTCAAATATTTTCTACTCAAAAACATTAGATCCTCACAAAACAATGAAAGAGCTATCTGGTATCTAATATTATTGCGTGTACATGTTACATCTATTCCTGCCCAAGGCTAATTGGAGATCTGTATGCTTGCACTGTAGCAACAGGTTATATACGTTCCTTTGATGAAGAAAATGAACTGCACAACGATGATGTGAACGACATTTTGAACTTGCTCACTGTCTATGAACTTCATGAAATTATATGCATACTTAAGAAGGTTTGCATCTATTTATATTATTTGAATTGCTTTTCCATAATGTTGTCGTTTTGGTCAAATGAATATTCCATATTATCTATCAATAAGTATCTAGGAGTACTAGCTTAAAGACTAAAGGCATGAATTCGATTCAATTTTAAGCATTAAAATACCTATGATGGACAGGGCATTTTGGGTGGATCTTTCTAGATTTGTTTGCATCTCTAGTTTATGCTCCAAAAGTAATGAATTGGCTTCTGATGAGTGCATAGTAAGAGATTTACTGTGCGGACAGAAGCAGGTCAAACATCTAAGCAATGGTGATGCGGTAAGATTTTATTCTCCATTTGTGGAGGACCTTACGAAATGGCCTGTGTTTGTATGTGCGCATAGTAGAGCATAGTTCATGTATTACCTATAATATCTTATCTTTTAAATCTTTCGTTGGATTTGATTGGTTCTAGTTACCGTTTATGTGACTTTTTTTACAGCAACTTGGCAATTTACGTTGTCCAATTCAGTAGTGCATCTAAAATGCTTCCCAATTTCAAAATGGAAAATCCTTTCCTTTTCTTTTTGCCTCTATTTTAATTTGGATGTTAGAGCATGTAGAAACCTTTTTACATAGACTTTCTGTCATCAATTGTTGGCTCTCCTTTGATTTTGTGTGTGTGCGTGGTGGTGGAATTGCTTCGTTATCTGATGCTCTTCTTTTCCCCCCTAACTTTATGCTATATGGAGGCTTTAGAGATGCAACTTTGGAACGAGAAAGCAGGAACTTATTGCATCTCTTCTTTCCTCATATAAAGATGGATTATGGTACCAAATGATTTTCTTTTAACGATTATAAAATTCGTTTGTCTATGATTCAATGTATCTTTTAAGTGTTCTTACATGTTCTTCATTCAATTTGCAGTCCACCATTACCAAATATGATTTTGAAGAGAACAGGTTCCTGTCTTAGAATATCTTCCAAAGCTAAATCTCTTTTCTAGCGTGCTGAGGTCTGTCTTCTATTGTTGTCTATTACACACCAGCACCCGCGCTTTTTCTTTTTAGCACACGTATTCTTTTTCTTTCTAAAGCTTGTGGTCCATGCAGAGGCTTTTCTTTCTAAATGGAGAGCAGGATCTATCATCGTTTCTATTAGCTGACTTTGGCATTGTCAAGTACCCAACTTACAACTGCATAATCACATAACCAATCTTCTCAGATCAAAAAGATATGCTTGCTTATGAAGAGGTTATTTATTTGTTTGTTTGTTTGTTTATTTGTTTGGGCAAGGAGAAATATATGCGTTTGGAACTTGTTACAAAATGATTTTGTTTTTTATATGAAAATAAAAATATTTTCAATCTCAGACAGAAATTATTTTTAAAAATGTGTTTGGTAGTTTTATCAAGAGATTGTTTTCAGTATAAAAAAAATCCATTAATGTTTCTCTCTCTTTCTCTTTGTTAGAGAGGAGAAAACAAAAAAAAAATAAAAAACAACTAAAAATCGTTTTTCATTTCTCTCTCATTTTACACTAAACTAAAAAAATCGTTTTCATTTTTATTTTTTGTCTTTATTGCGTCAAACGCCGTTTTAAAAATATTTTTATTTGTTTTCCTCAAAAAATGTGAAAAATAAAAACGATATCAATTCCAAACATTCTGTTGGAAAAAAACGAAGGAGACCGAGAAAATCAGAGCATCAAACAATCTAGGGTTTCTGCTCAAGAACGAAGAGAAGAAGCGGAGCAAATGGGGCGGTGGGAAAAGGAAAGCAAAGCCTAGGGGTTTATTTGGAGCGAAATGACCAAAAAACCTAGCCCAAGACCAACTAAACAATAAAAAAGCTAAGGGCATATGTGAACAATCAAATCATAGAGCACAAAAAGACCAAATAGCCCCTGCCCAACACAGGAAAAAAAGGAAAAAGGGTACAACAGACAATTACATGTACTGTTCATATGTACAGTGAATTATTAGGGCATGAAGAGTGCTCGGGAGGTCTCCTTTAGTATATTTAATATCCATCACATATTATAATTTGTATGTAACAAAAAATGGATGACCAGAGTAAAATATCAAAGGAGCAATGAAGTCGACGATTTGTGCCCAAATAAAGTCAGAGAGACAAAATGAAGACATCAAGCCAAAAACAAATCGAGGAATGAAATCATCATTACACTGTATTACACTAATACACTGTATTATGTACAGTAAATTAAGTGTGTGTGAACAGTGAACAACTACTCTCCTTTAGTATATTTATAATTTGTAATATACTAGATTATGTTACCTTTTAACACAACACACAAAACACAAAAGAAAGAAAATTATTGAACTTATTCTTAAAAGTACATAAGTCTAAATTTTTACTTCTTACTCTTAATTAATATCTTTAATATTTAATTAAACGAGTATTAATTAAGAATAAAAGATGAGTATTTATCTCCATTTCCCTTTTAACAAATCATCAATCAATAGGCCGATAGCCAAAGTAATATGGTAGATTAACAATAGCTATCTACCAGATTAATTTCCCAAATTAACACACATCTCCAGTCGTAATCCACTAAACTAACCAGCGGAATCAATAGGGAAAAAATCTGATTACAAAATTATTACGAAAATATCAAATTCTTAAAAAAAAGGATCAAAATAAAAGATTATCATCCACAAAATAAAAATCTCATATCCAAAATAAGAAACATGACAGAGAACTACAAATAAAGTAAAAAAAAAAAAAACATTATTTTATTTCATATATGCAATTGACATTGGACACAACACTGGTGGTGTGCTCACCAGAAGCCGAAAGACACAAATGCCAGAACAATATTAAATTCAGAACTCGAATGAATCTCCAAGGTGCAACGGTGAATTAAAAAAAAAAAAAAAAAAAAACGCCTAAATTTCAACCATTTAACTGGACCCCTTAACCTTAACAAGAACAGCTATGTATACATCTCTCAACGATATTTGTATGTTATGCGTTTTGATTAATGATGATTTTGCTTCCAGAGGAAAGTATCGTTTCCTTGTAATAATTTACATAACCCAACTCAGTGTTTTCAGCAGCCTCAAGACATTAGCAAAACCACTTGAAGGCAAAAAAATAGAAAAAGGTGTCCAATTATTAAGATGCAAGAGATCAATGGCTCTAATGCGGTAAATAGCGACCATCCCAGCAGATCCAATAGACAATATATTGCATAAAACGATTGAAAGCGTCTCTTTAACCAGTAGAACACAGTTTCATTCATATAGATTTAAACACGTCTTGTACAAAGATCAAAGAGAGATTGAACCACTCCATAACCTACCAATAGTTCATGAGAACTTCAAAAACTTTTCTAAGGGTACTTATAAAGAGACCGACTCCCTTGTCATTATCTACTAACTGCTTACATTCTCATAAGGTTGAAATCACCGATCAATTGATTGCCATCGGACCTCAGATGAACAAGTGTTTGAAATCTGAATTTGCAAGCTGACAAAGCTGATTGTAATTGTGCGTGTCTGCCAAGGGAAGAAATGTAAAAAGGCAAAAATGTCAAAACAAAGATAAGGTTCTTGGAAAACCAAATGATTAAACAACAACATCACAAAAACACAAACAGGTTCAAATGATTAAGCAGCAATATCACAAATATGTAAAGTTTGTCATTGTTGTGGAACTGACTCATCATCAAAAGCAAACATGAAACAAGACTTGCATAGTTGCATTTGGAGTTGCTTGATCGAAGTTTACTTACTAATCGCCAGAGTTCTAATCTTCGGGCCATCAAGCATAAACTAAACCAATAGAGGAAATTACGCAAGAGTAGAACAAGTATTATACAGCAATTTGATGCAAGCGAACTAATTGAAGAGCTAGTATTCTTCTAGATCACACGCATTTGTAATTAGGGACAATGTTAATTCAAAGTTCTTGTTCATGTAACAGCTAGTTAAAAGCTGAATTTTTTTTTAGAAAACGCCACTTCTTAACAGGGAAAATATTTGTCCTGAAAAAGTTATGAAGCCATTATCTATGTTTGTGCTTCTCCCAGACCCAATTGAAATACAACTAAGCAATTTGCTGAAATTAAGAAGTGCCCATATATCAAGCATCATTTTCAGAAAAGGCAATTTTTTTTTTTTTTTTTTGGCAAATGATCCTGATAAGGAGAAGGTTGAAAGAAAAGTGAAAAAACATACCAATTGCATCACCAAAGTTGGTCCATATTTCAGCACGGATAGATTTGTCACTATCAGCAACACCAATGACCTCAACAAAATTTGTGGGGGGAACGGGTGGATTGCCTTTTACAATTATCTGGCCATCATCTGTCGATTTTCCGACCACGGATCCTCCGTCGGATCGGACAACCTGAATCAGCGCCCGAACTCGCTTTCCGACGTACAAGCGCAGAAGATCAGCATTCACAAAAGCAGCAGGGTTAGACGTATCCATATCCTGCAATGCACATTCAAAAGTTCAAATTTTTAAGACATTTTTGCCAGTTGAAAAAAAAATACCCTGTCAAGTTTAAAGTTTAAACCCTTGTAGTCTTGCCATATACGAGCATCAATACCCACTCTAAAAAAAAAGTAAAAATAAAATATTAGAACCAGAATCGCTGACTAATTGGGATTAATAAAATCAAAAACCAAGATAATAGATTTTTTTTTTTTTAAAAAAGGATAATGGAAAGATATTTCATCAGATTTCAGAACTAACAAGGAAATCATTCAGGAAAAAGTCAATAGGCTCGTATCTAAGTATTGAGAAATTCGGGACTTTAGGGTTTTTTGTTTTTTGTAAAATCAGAATTATAAAAGAGATTTCACCACACATAGAATTGAAATAAAAAAAGAAACACCAATCCAACAGGAAAATATCGGATTAAGATCATTCAAGAGAGAAAACCCTACCTCAAAATTATGAGATCTCGAAAATATCTCCTTGCTGCAAAAAGTTTCTCTGCAGATATTGATCTTCTTCTCAGTGGAAATCTCGGTGGTGTAATCAAGCAAAGAAAGCTTGCTTCCGTGACGAGAAGAAGAAGAAGCAGAGAGAGATGGGGAAAAAAGGTGAAAGTGTTCAGAGGAAAAAGGGCGGGCTCTCAAGGCGGCAAAACAAAATAAAATGAAAATGAAAATGAGTTGTTTTGCTTATGAAGGGTTTAAATGACGCGATTAAGCAGCGGGTGTGATTATTGTATGTTGGCGGACTTAAGCGGGATGACTTTTTTTTTTTTTTTTTGCTTGAGCGTGATGATTTGATTTTCTTAAAACATTTTCCTTTTTTCTTTCCTTGAGAGTTTCTCTGATAGTACTGAAAAGAAATGATGTATCTATAATTATTTATTTTTTAGTCATTAATTTTGTATTAAAAATTATGTGTTCCGTATATGTTTTTAAAATTTAGTTTTACCAGTAGACAGACCAAATAGAAAATGTCCCTTTTTTCTTTCCTTTTTTTCTTCTCTGTTTTTTTATTTAGTTTTTTTGCCAGGTTCAATATTATGTAAATTCAACAAGTTTTAATACAAATTTCATAATTGAAAGACTACTACTATGCTTGCTAGGGGTGCACAAAAAAACCGTAAAATGCCATGCTCGGCCGCCAGCCTCGCACTGCCATTTATGTGCCCCGTCATTAAGATGCCAAACTGCAGTTTCAAACTGCTTGCCCCGCCATGCATAACATGCGGTTTTGGTTTGGGTTTTTCTCAAAACGTGGTTTATTTAAACTGCACCACCTCGCTAAAAAACAGTTTGAAACCACCCGTAATTTCTGTTGAGCATAAATTATGAAATATTAATTATAGTGATGATTGTTTTAATGTTGATCTTTTTTATAACTTAAAAACATAGTAAATTGATAATAATTATATTTAAAATGTAGGAAAAACACATTATTATATTCAAAATGTAGGAAAAACACAATAAAATCCATCCGCCATTTAGATTGGCGGTCTTAGTTTGAGTTTTTCCCAAACCTGCCCTGCCCGAAAACCGCCCATGTGCACACCCGTAATGTCACGTGAAATTGACGTTTTTTTTTTTTTTTTTTTGCCCTTCACATGATGTTTTGATATAAAATGTGTCATGTCCACTTGTAAAATTGGGTGTAGTGTGCATGTCGTATAGCAATCATAATGCATAATCAACGTTTTCTATATATGCTTGGGACATTGTCATAAATTAGAATATAATAATGGCCTTGGCACAGGCTGTCATTTGTGGAACTTGTCAGATATCACATAACATAAAAACTAATACGAGTTACCTTACAAGTATGTACGTCAAAGCAGGCTTCTCAACATTGGGCATTTGGTCTGGCAGTATGACTGTCGCTTAGGGTGCGAGGGGTCCCGAGTTCAATTCTTGTAATGCCCCCCCATTTTCAACTCTTTTTTTTTTTCATGACCAAATTATATGCCAATGTCAGATATCACATGACGATCGCTCAAAAGAGCCGAGTGGCTTAGCTCCTCTAGCTTCCCATTATCCAGAAGAAACACTCGTTTAGCCATCAACACAGTTTCCAACCGATGGGCAATCACCAGAACCTGTTTACATAATATTCTTCATTTTAGCCCCATCAAAGCACTCAAGAATTTTATTTTTAATTTTATTTTTAATTTTTAATTTTTAATTTTTTTATTTGTGCAATGTTGGAATGGGCTTTTGTACTTACCGTGTGATTTTTCATCAAGCGTTCCAGAGCTTGTCTCACCGATAACTCCGACCTACTATCAAGAGCAGAAGTGGCTTCATCCAATATCAATATTGAAGAATTTTGATAAACTGCTCTTGCAATGGCTAGTCTGCATTTGTAAGTAAGAAAGATGTCGATTAGCAAAATATTACGATCTAGTGAATTAGAATTCGGGTTCCAGCTTCACCTTTGCCTCTGGCCTCCGCTCATAGTCGAGCCCCTCGGCCCTATGTCGGTCTCGTATCCTTTTGGAAGTTGCCTAATAAACTCGTCTGCATTTGCAGTTCGAGCTGCATCTTCTACCCTCCCCATGTCAATTCCTTTGATCAGATCCCAATACCCAATATTTTCAGCAACGGTTCCTGATAATAGTGTCTGGTGCACAATTGGAAGTTAAAAAATATGAGAACTATTTGGTAAAGACAACATTATTGTAATGTCTGGAAAAAAAGATCCAATAATTAATAAGTAAAATTAATTAAGGATTTTTCCATAACTACGCCGCTAAGTTCATAAAAAATATAAGTTTAGAGCTTATAAGTTAAGTTACAGCAATAATTACAAGAAACGTTTATGAGAGAGCATGAAAATCTAAGAAAATGGTTGACTTTAAACTAGTCAATGCATCTTTAACAGTCCGAGCAGAATTTTAATCCGATAACTAAGTACTTGACCAATTATATTGATAGAATCCAAGTAATCAAGTTAAAGGTTTTCTTAAAAGACCCGAACACTTATTTTATGTAAAGATTCGTGAAATTCCACGATTCTATGATTAGAGTGTATTCGGTAGTATAAAATACCAATTAGCATTATGAAAATCTTAATAGAAGTTTACTCAAGATTTAAAAAAAAAAAAAAAAAAAAAAACCCACAAAATTTATGTTGGAATTTAAATACTAAAGTCAGGAATTTTCCTGAAAAATCTCGTGTCAAGTTTTATGATTTTCCTGGAAAATACTAAATTCCTACTTGTTTCCCGGCATCTCTTCACTACTCGCCAAGATCTACTATCTTATATTGCTAAGTTCTGTAAAAGAACACCCATTGAGAGTGTGAGATTAACTTATCGTATGCTGTTTTAACATAGTCATAAAGGAATTTAATCCTCTTCTTAGAACATATTCTCCTTTTATTAAAGAATCATAAAAATCAATTTTTATTACAAGGATTAATTAACACCTCATAATTCGGTTTTTCTTAATTGTCCTTACTTCTACGTGCTAAAGTTGATAATTAATCAATTTAATAACTAATTAATTATCTTATCATATATTAAGTCTAAATAATTTAATTAATTAACTTTCTTATCCATAAGTTAAGTTCTAAATAAACTAATTGGCTCAAAATAGTATTAAGGCCCACTAAGTCTAATACTAGATTGTCATAACTTAGGTCCGAGAGAGCCCTTGAACTAGTACGGGTGTTGAGCCCGTATTTAATGTCGTAATAGTAAAAGCCTAGCGTATTGGGCTTTTTTTTTCTTTTTTTCAAATTCCCAATTAAATGTTTATCTGAAAACCGTTAAGGTTTATTGGAAAAAACCATATTCGAATAATTAAAATTTCGTACTGAAAATTGTATTTTAAAATAGCGTCCAAATTTGATAAAATAATACATTCATATATTCTAAACTCATATATGACAATGAATCTTTTATAATGAGTACATAAGTGGATGAGATTGATTATGAGGGGTTGACATGGGTTTCACATGAGTTGTAGAGTTAGAATGCCTTAGAAACCCAAGTTTCGTACGTTTTCGGTGTTTAGGTTTTTGAGTCTTGATTAGGGTTTTTGTCGGATTGTAAGTGATTTAAGAAATTTATTATTTCATGTTTGAATATGTATGGAAGGGTTTTAGAAATATTGATCAAGTCTTGATAATAAACGGTTAAGGATTTAAAGATGACATCTTTAGTATATCAAAATTCGGTACGGACACATACACTTAAACCGGTAAGTAAATTAAGTGGTTCACGCTGTCCAAATGTCTATTCTTGAAGCTCCACGGCTCGCTCTGAACCTCAACGAATCCATTCGATTTGCCTCGATTTACGTGCACGGTACCAGTAGATTTTTCAACGGAGTCAAATTGGTGCAAACGGAGGTCATCATTGCGTTCAGCACGTCGAAACGAGTCAGGATATGGTCTCAAATCTTCGATCGGACGTCGGGAACCTCAAAAACTGAGACTCGCCGGAATCCGGCCACCGGCGGCGGCGGAGGTTGTCAGAACATATTTCCGGGGCGGACATGGATCCTACCCCCCCTAAATCGACCCTTCTGAGTTCAATGGTGCAGTCAATTTCACCCAATTCGGCCTCTATCTACTCCGATCAAACCCAAAAACGTCGGCAAAATCTGGCGACTTTGATCTTAATTCTCCTGCTATGGGACCTCAAAATTAGTTGAGCGATTTCATTACTCGTGATCTTCTGAGCATTTAGACACCAAAATCACGATGATCCAACGGTTGGATCATCAGAACCACCCCTTATCTCCTCAGACGGCGACGGCGGCGGCTTCGTTTTCCGGCAAACGACAGCGAGACCGTGAAATTGTCATAGGAGTTTTGCTCAACGTTCTTCTCTAAGTCCATTGACACTGGCGGTGTCCAAAACGGCGGCCGGGAAGGAGGTGAGCGGCGGTGGCAGGAACTCCGGCCACCATGGACGGTGGTGCTCTGGCTAGAATCAACCTGTGAAAAATGATGGGTTTTTTTCGTCTCTTCGTTCTGAATCCATAGGAACTAGAATCACCTTGATTGGATGCCGGACGAAGGAGATATCGCGATCGGAAGCTCTAGTTGTTTTCAAAACTTCGGCCGGCAATTGTGGCTGATTCCGGAAGAGTTGGAGGTCGTGCGACATGTCAACGTGCTCAGCTCGTCGAGATCTTTACAACAAGCTGGGTGGTGTCAAAAACAAACATGGAATCCTCATCGGGTGTTTGGCCGGCGTGCAGAGAGAGAGAAAGAGAGAGTGAGCGTGGGAAAGAGAGAGAATGAGAGAAAAATGAGAAAAAGAAAGAAAAATGAAAGAAAAAAGGGAAAATGGGCTTAGACTTTCTAGGCAAATATTATAATTAGACTTCAAAACCCAATTTGAATAGAGTATGGAATGACCCATTATTCATGTTCCGAAAAATTAGCTAGCGACACTTTAAAACTGTTCGCGGGACAGCAGTGCCAATTTCAACACAATCCTTTTTAAAAGAAAAGGTCCTTACGTGATAATTATAACTGAAATTCTTTCACTGATCTCGGATTAATTAACACTAACCATCGGATTAAATTAATTAATCACAATTAATGTAACCGGATGTTACAATTTTGCGAGACTTCTAAATCGACTCTCCAGCTCCTATAGAACTAGACACATAGGTCTTCGATTCGGTATATTACATGTAAGGTTCAGAAACCAACAAGGCCCTTAAAAACACGTGACAGAAAATCAAAATGGCATGTCTGGAAAATTCTTATAGTTGCAAGAAATCCATCACGTGTGCTAAATGATTTCAAGGTCGATTTTAATGCAACACCCATGTTCTGACACCGATTTGGAAAACGTCCAAAGTGTTATTCATACTTATCGCTAGAACTACCCGTTCTAATTCCACATGAAATTGACAAGACATCTCCTCAGGGCGATCGAACCTAGCATCTTCAGTGCAAGGGAACTCAACCTCAACTGCTAAAGTTATTCCATTCAAAAATCTCGTTTTAAGATATAGTTCACAATGAGGAATGCCATACACATGGCGGGAAAAGAAGATGAACACAACAACTCGTCAAGATGAACGTCTTGGAACTTATGGACTAAGACTCACCATGCCTTTATTGTGGAGATTTCACGTGTCAAGATGGGGAGGAACATCCATCTTACGGTTATGCTGCGACATCTAAACACCGGTTGAAGAAAACACCAATCTCAATAAGATACGACCACTCGCCTCATTCGAATCTTTACAAATTTCGGAATTATAGAATGAGGCACGAAAACGCTTTGTCATCCAGGAATCTCAGATCCAGTGTATAATCAATTCAAGCTAAAAGTCAATCAACAATCATAGACTTTCAACCACTGGAATAGACACCCAATTCTGGGGATGATCGAACACAAGAATATCAATCATCGACTTAGAATCTAGAAAGTCGAAGAAATTCCCATAGTCAAATTTGACTCTAAAAGAAGAACTAATAGAAATTTAATATCGAATAGATATGAAATCAAATAACGATTAAATCTCTAAAAATCCGGTAACTGAATGAGGAATTTCGAAGTCAAGATTGGCTACAAATCTCGCACCAATGATAACCATACACCGGAAAGAAAATGAACGTTGTGGCATGTTTTCGTATTATGAAGGAAATCACCGGGACTAACATTCGAAACAAGGAGTAGTCTTGATCTTAGAATAACATTGATTCATGATAGAAAGATAATATGAATCAAAATACGGTTATCAAGCAGAAAGTCCAACTTCAGATCAAAACAGATTAAGAATAAGGAGACGTTTGGTAAGGAGATTCATACCATGATTTGAATCATGGTTCATGGTTCACTACAGTGTTTTCTCTCACAAAAAATACACGTAAATCGTGTATAATCAATTCAAGCTAAAAGTCAATCAACAATCATAGACTTTCAACCACTGGAATAGACACCCAATTCTGGGGATGATCGAACACAAGAATATCAATCATCGACTTAGAATCTAGAAAGTCGAAGAAATTCCCATAGTCAAATTTGACTCTAAAAGAAGAACTAATAGAAATTTAATATCGAATAGATATGAAATCAAATAACGATTAAATCTCTAAAAATCCGGTAACTGAATGAGGAATTTCGAAGTCAAGATTGGCTACAAATCTCGCACCAATGATAACCATACACCGGAAAGAAAATGAACGTTGTGGCATGTTTTCGTATTATAAAGGAAATCACCGGGACTAACATTCGAAACAAGGAGTAGTCTTGATCTTAGAATAACATTGATTCATGATAGAAAGATAATATGAATCAAAATACGGTTATCAAGCAGAAAGTCCAACTTCAGATCAAAACATATTAAGAATAAGGAGACGTTTGGTAAGGAGATTCATACCATGATTTGAATCATGGTTCATGGTTCACTACAGTGTTTTCTCTCACAAAAAATACACGTAAATCAAAAATAGTTCTAATCTTATGATTCTAATCCATAAACCAAACGCCTCCTAAAGCTCGAAATTAGAATCTCAAAAGTGAAATGGCAGAGAATGGTATAGGATTAATATCCATAGTCAATGTCTTATAATGACACGGTTCAAGTTAACGACGGAATCACCAAGACTAACACTCGAGACAAGAAAGAATTCAATTCCTGAGTGACATAGGAATATGATAGAAAGATAGCACGATTCGATACGCTAATAATAAGTGATTTCCTTCCTAATAGAAAACATGCCACAACGTTCATTTTCTTTCCGGTGTACGGTTATCATTGATGCGAGATTTGTAGTCAATCTTGGCTTTGAAAATCCTCAATCAGTTACCGAATTTTTAGAGATTCAATCGTTATTGATTTCATATCTATTCAATATTAAATTCCTATTGGTTCTTTTAGAACATGAATAATGGATCATTCCATACTCTATTCAAATTGGGCTTTGAAGTCTAATCATAATATTTGGCCAGAAACCCTTAACCCATTTTTCCTTTTTCCTTTCCTTTTTCTTTCTCTCTCTTTCTCTCCTCTCGCACATCTCTCTCTCCTCTCTTTCTCCACGCCGGTCAAACACTCCGATGAGGATTCCAGTTTTTGACACCTCCCAGGCCGTTAGAAAGCTCTCAATGAGCTGAGCATTTTGACAAGTCACACGACCTCAAACTCCTCCGAATGAAGCCGCAATCGCCGACCAAAGTTCCGAAAACAATCGAAACTTCCGATCGCGATATCTCCTCCGTCCGATATCCGATCGAGGTGATTTCAGTTCCTATAGATTCAAAATGAAGAGACAAAGAAAACCTGACCATTTTTGCAGCTCGTCGCTGCCCGAAACGCCGCCTCGAAGTCACCGGAAAAGCCGCTAGCCACCACCTTCGGTTTTCCATCTCCGGCCAGTTTTGGTTGACACCACCCTCACTACTAGGTTCAAAACTCAAAGACGAGTTGATCCCGACCAATTTCAACCTCCGCCGTTGCCGTTTGGCCAGAAAACGGAGCCGCCACCGCCGCCGTCCGAGGAGGTAAAAGGTGGTTCTGATGATCTAACCGTTGGATCGTCGTGATTTTGTTGTCAAAACACTAAGAAGATCATGGGTAAAAAAACCCCTCAACAAATTTAAGATTTCATTGCCAGAAATCTGAGATTTGAGTTGCCGGATTTTACCGACGTTGCCGGTCCCGATCTGTACTTTTCGATGTTGAATTGTGTGAAATTAACCGCACCATTAAACTCAAAAGTGTCGATTTAGGGGGGGTAGGACCCAATTCTGCCGCAGAAATAAGCTCCATCAATCTCTGCCGCCACCGGTGGTCGGATTCTGGCGAGCTTCCGTTCAGCAGCCTCCCGACCTTCGTTCATCGATCCGAGACCATATCCTGACTCGTTTCGACGTGCTGAACGCAACGGTGTCCTCCGTTAGTGCTAATTTCGCTCCGTTGAAAAGTCTACCGGTACTGTGCACGAAAATCAAGGCGAATCGAACAAATTCGTTGAAATTCAGAGCAAACTATCCAACACTTCTAGGCCAAGAGGGCTTTAAAACAATTATGGGCCAGACAAGTATGGCAAGCAGAACTAGCGACACGATCGGACATGAAGCTTCAAGAATAGACGGTTGGACAGCGTGAAGTTATCCGTAGATTAAATTGCCAAGAGGTAGGATTTCTTGTCCTTTTCTCTGATAGCCTGTTTTTAAAGAGTTTTAGCCTTACAAATGTTTTAAAGAAATGATATGTTTGATAAAGAAAAGCATTTTTACACAATAGCTTGATTTTAGCTATTGGAATCATAATGAACTATATCAAAGTTTTGATGAATGATTTCTTAAGATAAGATATCTTGCGAACTGGTAAGCCTGCTGATGGCCTAGAAAGGATATCCAGAGTGTATCCTCGGGGGCAGAACCCGAAACCCGGACTGGGCCACTACGGTGGTGTTAAGGCTTGTGCTTGTGGTTGTGTAAGTGCTTGTGGTTGTGTAAGTAATTTATCATAGTATAAATTACTTACTGACGCCTGTAATACAGAATTTAAAGTTTATACTTCCTTTCAGAAATATGATGTCAGGTTCCAGCTATAGTGTTGGAACTG